AGCTGGGCACATCCATCTTAACTGCACTTTCCAAGGGCACAGGAGCCTGGGTTACTTCACAGTCTAAACCTGATGTTGACCCCTTTGGCCACAGCTTGCTTTGCTTTGAGCCTCTCCAACACTGCTTTATTTAAATATCACCTCAGTCCCACCCTTTCCCCAAACTCTATAGCAGATCGATCTCCCGTGTTTGCTGAGATGGCCGAGTTGCTTTGGTGTGCAGTCGCCTTCCTTGTGGGGGATCAGTAAGCCCGACTGACAACAGCTTTGCTCCTGGTCTTCACAGGCTGGTTGGGCTGGGAAAATTCTAATCAGAGGAAGCCATGCAGAAGCCCAGTTAGAAAGATCAGACCAGAGGGGACAAAGGAAGAGCCCACTTACCAGAACTGGGATATTAGAATGAGACGGGAAGTAAATGTGCTTTGGTGCCAAGACTAAGTGTTGGTCTGTTAGAGCCGGAGCGTCTCCTGCCTACGGTTCAGGCTGGCCAGAGAGGGAGATGGGCTCAGAATGGCAAGGAAGGGCTCAGTGGCTTCAACTAAGGAGCGCACTCGGGAGGCAGGAGCTGGCCGCCGGCTGCCCGCAGTGCAGGGGCAGGGAGGGGGCAGTAACGAAGCCTAAAGCCCCTGACCAGAGGGTCTGCCCGGGGCCTCGCACGGGGAGGAGCCTGGGGATTCACTTCCACGAAGAACAGAGCATTCTCTCCCCACAGACTTTTCTTCATCTTTCACAGGGAAAAAACACTAGGGAGAAAAAGGGAAAGAGTAAAGGAGGGAGGGGTATAGCCAACGGCAAAGCCCAAAATAATGGACTTGGAAGTAAAGGAAGCCCCTTTCAATAAAGCGCCCCGTAAAGGCAGTGCTTCGTGCTAGAGCTGGGGCTTGCCAGCGGAGGAGGACACATGGAGTCTAATGTACTGGTGATCATTAGGCTTTATACTATTCCTTTGGGGCTACATGAGTGCCTGGAAGGAATTAATTTTTTTTCTCTTTTTCTCCTTTTTTTAGCATAGGAACCCAAGATCTCTTTTCAGAGGGGAGAGGTCGGGAACACTGTATTGTTGACTTGGGTCTTTCTCTAGAGGATTTGCTTGCAAGCAGCAGTGAATGGATCTCTGTGAGAACACAATGATACTTTCATCTATGACTGAACTATTCCATTTTGTTCCTGCTCCTTTTAGGGAGAGGAAAATTGTTCCTAGTTATTTTGGTCTAAAGTTTTTCAAAACTTCCAGTACAAACCATAAAGCGAGTTTGACTTCTGGGAAATCCCATTCCAGTTAATAACGTAAAATGTATTTATATGGTGAGGTATGACTCTCTAAAGGTTATCTTTTTATAATCCGTTTTAAGACATAGATTTTATAGCCAAAAACAAAACAACAACAAAAAAACCAAAAGAAACCCTTACTACCTTTCCTGATTTGTGGTATAAGCAGGTGTGGAAGGCATTCTAGGGTCAGGTGGGAAGGATAAGATGATCTCTGAGAGCCAGTTTTAAGATCATGCATCTTCAGTCATATGTGGAGTAGCCTGAGCAACGCAAAAGCAGCTTTGAATTTCCAGCAAACCCACCAGCACCACCAAGATAGACTCTTGCTCAAAAGGTGATGATATTACCTCGGCTCCTTTACTGCAGCACAAATAAATCCAGAACCCCATCCCCACCACCATTCTCCCCCCCTCCTCTACATATATGCCACTATTTCTTTGTTTCTTTTATTTTTTTAACAACTGCTTCAAAGTGGGAAAGAAACTTAGATGTAAGGAGAAAGTGAATGTGAAAAGTAAATAGAAAATGATTACTAGCAGGAATAATGTTTTCTAATGCTTTTCCAAACCAATGGCTTCAAATCCTTTTTATGGCAACCAACAGTCAGGGTGACATTCTACATCATGTCCTCGTGTAAGCATACTTAGACATATTTGTGTCTTTATGTACATAGAGATAAATATCAAGTTTCACAAAACACTATCTATGATGCACTACGATTTTCCTTTTTTATTCTTTCATTTTACAAAGTGTTGGTTGTAAGTCACTAAACTGATATTGTGACTTACTAAATGAGTGACAACCTGCAGTTTAAAAAATTACTCTCCTGGGCAATATTAGCAGATAGCTTATTAATCTTTATTCCAGAAAATAACCCCAAAGCAATTTTGTGTTCTGACACCAGATTTCTTGTGTACAAAGGATCTTCTCTTGGGACATTCTTTGAAACAGTGTCTCCATTTTTGCCTCAGAAGCCCTGAGGCTGATGCCGATATTATGACATAAGAAAACCAGGATCATAGTCTTCCTTCATTGTTTCTGACATCAGCTCTAGATTCTGAACAACTTCCACCCCCAGAAACACTTCTTAATATGAAATCTTTGTAAGAACTGGCTGAAAACATATCCATCTTGGGCTATTAGACTCCAATGACACCTGCAGGGTTCTCTGCATGAGTGGCTTAGAAAGCAATGGAAAAATAGATATTAAATACATACAGCAGTTCTTAAAATGAAATACAACACAGACTGTCAATCTGTGTTTTATTCAAGGTACAATCTTAGGTTAAAAATAGTAAAATAAGCCTGGCCAGTGTGGCTCAGCAGTTGAGAATGGACCTAAGATCCTGGAGACGGTGGTTCCATTCCCAGTCAGGGCACATGCCTGGGTTTCAGGCTCAGTCCCCAGTTGGGGGCTTGCAGGAGGCCGCTGATCAATGACTCTTTCATCATTGATGTTTCTCTCTCTCTCCCTTCCTCTCTCTGAAATCAATAAAAATATATTGTTTTAAAAAACAGTATAATAATCACATTGTGTATAGCAGACCTCCATGTGTTCTAAAAGGGGAGCATATGTGCTTATATGTGTATAGAATATTTCTGGAAAGTTGCAAAGGATATAAGTAGTGGGAATTGCCTCTAGAGAAGAGAAATATAGTACTGGGGGTCTGGGATGATGGAGATTTAATTTTTTTGAGATTTAATATTTTTGTATACCTTTTTATAGTATTTGAATTTTTTACNTACCTTTTTATAGTGTTTGAATTTTTTATGTACATACATAGATTAATTTTTCAATTAAAAACAGTTAATTTTTAAACATATGATAGACGGAGGAAGTACTTGCAAACTCATTAAGATAAAGGGAGATTTCCTTGTGAACAGTCATATAGATAGATGTTTATTATAACACCAGAATTCATTATCTCTTTCATTTACATGTCGTGTACAACTTATAAAGTTTCACATCCACTGCCTGAGTGAGTGCTCATCACAACCTGTTGAAATAGGTGGGACAAATACTAGAAACCACACTTAAATTTAAAAAACAAAACAAAACAAACCCCTGAAGCTTAAAGGAGTTCAGATGAAAGCATATTTTCATGAAAGAAGTTTGTAGCGATTTACATGACTGTGATCATTTGAAATACTGAAATTTCACAGCNCTGTGATAATTTGAAATCCTGAAATTTCACAGTATTTTGAGCTATCGAGTAGTTTATGAGTAGCAGTATCGTTAAAGCCTTCAGAAACATTCCTTGCAATATTGATCTCTTAACTAATAAACTCTTGCTTACAGGAGGAAGGAAGCAGAAAAAATAACCTATTGAAACTCTTTGTGTAAAATATGCCTAATCTTAGAATATAAATTGTCAACTAATACCTGGTTGAAAATTAACATTTAAAAAGTTGCATCCAAAACTTTGCTATATAGATGTTTACCTTTGAACTAGAAAAACCTAAAATAATTGCCTAAATGGAAAAAGAAGGAAATGACAAATCATTGCTACTAAACCTTAAAAACATACCCTAAAGTTTTATGGCTATGGTTGTTATATCTCCCAGTGTCCCCGGGCAGTTTGACTTACACCTCCTGTCCCCAAGTAATTATTGATAGCACCCCTATTATTACTCAAAGGTGTCCTAGTTTGAGTAATAAAGTATATTTCCACCCTATGAAATCGCATAGTCTAGACTCATTCATCTTTGAGATCCTCACATTCTAGCGTTTGGGCTTCATCTCGAAACTAAAAAGTACCCTTATTTATACAAAGGCTGAAGGGTCCCCGCTCAGATTTTAGCTGCACATATGGCTCAAATAAAAAAGAGTAGTTTCCAAGCACTTCCCACTAGCAACTGTTGGCTTTATTAAAGGGACTAATAGTGAGAAGAGAGTCTCAAGGTCTGATCTGGAAATTTTGGTTTGTGGGGTTTAAAAGTGAANCCCACCCCGAGTCCTTCATTCGTGGCTTCCTTTATTTATTAATATTTGGAGAGTGGCTACTAGAGGCGAGACACTGTTCTACGCACTACATCAGTTTTGTCAATAGTTTGGGGGACTTTCTGCTAAATTTCCAGTGGTTTGCAGGAATGTTATAGTAGGTATCAGATTTTGTTTAATTCAGCCTCTGAATTCCTCTCTCACACTCTAGGATTTCCCTAATTTGGAATTACTCTATTCAAAAATTACTAAGGTTATTCCCAGAAAGGTTAAATTATTGCTGCTTTTTTATGTTACAGGTGCACTTCTTAGAAAAAGTAAATGAATTAGTAGCCAAGCTGGATACAGTAATAGCATCTTTTACTCAGCAGTGAGCAGACCATCTATTCAGAAAATGTAATTACCCGAAAGATGAAGGCAAAGCCACACTTGTTTATAAAAAGTATTTACTTGCCACATCCTCTAAAGCACTTGGCATTTCGATTGAAGGTATCGTGTAGAACGTGATTACTTGAGGTGTCTGCGTAAGTATTAAAGACTTCAGTTGTTCCTTTATGTTCAGATTTGCACTTCAGCAAAATCTTTTCAGAATGTTTCTAGCACGCATGTGCCAAAGGCGGAACATTCAGGTTTCCCTCTGAGGGAGGGGGCCTTGGACTGAGCCCGCCAATGCGGCTTCGTTCCCGTTGCTGCGGATGTTTGCGGGTCTTCTGGTTCTTGCTCCCCTCTCCTACTCCCCCAGAAATCTTTATTTCCTGTCACACAAGGACTCTTGTGGGCTTTTATTCTAATCATCACTGGTTGAGTGATTACTGTCACTGCCTTCGCTGTCACTATCACTGTCACTATCACTTCCATTGTTGTTGCCATTACGAGACTTGCTCTTGCTGTCACTCTCATCACTACTGTCAGATGCACTGTCACTGCTTTCACTGCTGTCACTGTCACTGTCGCTGCTGTCACTGTCACTGCTGTCGCTGCTGTCGCTGCTGTCACTGCTGTCACTGCTTTCACTGCTGTCACTGTCACTGTCGCTGCTGTCACTGTCACTGCTGTCGCTGCTGTCGCTGCTGTCACTGCTGTCACTGCTGTCGCTGCTGTCACTGTCACTGTCGCTGCTGTCACTGTCACTGCTGTCGCTGCTGTCGCTGCTGTCACTGCTGTCACTGCTGTCGCTGCTGTCACTGCTGTCACTATCTGATTTGCTATCACTACTATCACTGCTGTCGCTGCTATCACTGCTGTCACTGCTGTCACTACTGTCACTGCTGTCACTGCTGTCACTGCTGTCACTACTGTCACTGTCACTATCTGATTTGCTGTCACTATCACTGCTGTCACTGCTGTCACTGCTGTCACTGCTGTCACTATTGTCACTGTCACTATCTGATTTGCTGTCACTATCACTGCTGTCACTGCTGTCACTGCTGTCACTGCTGTCACTGCTGTCACTACTGTCACTGCTGTCGCTATCTGATTTGCTGTCACTATCACTACTGTCACTGCTGTCACTGCTGTCACTACTGTCACTGCTGTCGCTATCTGATTTGCTGTCACTATCACTACTGTCACTGCTGTCACTGCTGTCACTACTGTCACTGCTGTCGCTATCTGATTTGCTGTCACTATCACTACTGTCACTGCTGTCACTGCTGTCACTACTGTCACTGCTGTCGCTATCTGATTTGCTGTCACTATCACTACTGTCACTGCTGTCACTGCTGTCACTACTGTCACTGCTGTCGCTATCTGATTTGCTGTCACTATCACTACTGTCACTGCTGTCACTGCTGTCACTACTGTCACTGCTGTCGCTATCTGATTTGCTGTCACTATCACTACTGTCACTGCTGTCACTGCTGTCACTACTGTCACTGCTGTCGCTATCTGATTTGCTGTCACTATCACTACTGTCACTGCTGTCACTGCTGTCACTACTGTCACTGCTGTCGCTATCTGATTTGCTGTCACTATCACTACTGTCACTGCTGTCACTGCTGTCACTACTGTCACTGCTGTCACTATCTGATTTGCTGTCACTATCACTACTGTCACTGCTGTCACTGCTGTCACTACTGTCACTGCTGTCACTATCTGATTTGCTGTCACTGCTGTCGCTGCTGTCGCTGCTGTCGCTACTGTCACTACTGTCACTACTGTCACTGCTGTCACTGCTGTCACTATCTGATTTGCTGTCACTATCACTGCTGTCACTGCTGTCACTGCTATCACTACTGTCACTGCTGTCACTACTGTCACTACTGTCGCTGCTGTCACTACTGTCACTACTGTCACTGCTGTCACTGCTGTCACTACTGTCACTGCTGTCACTGCTGTCACTACTGTCACTACTACCACTGCTGTCTGACTTATGTTTGCTTGTGTCTGATATGCTATCATCACTCCCGTTGTCGCCATTGCCATTACTGTCACTATCATTAGCATCTGATGTGCTGTCACCGTCCTCATCTTCTCCTTCCGAGTCATTGTCATTGTCATTATCTCTTGATTCATCAGAGTTATAAGATGCATCTCCTCGGCTACTGCTGTNAAGATGCATCTCCTCGGCTTCTGCTGCTGTTGTCTCCTTCAGAATTGGCATCATCATTGCCATTAGACTCGTCGCTGCTGTTGGGATCATCTCCTTGCATGGATTCACGGTCAAGCTCATAACTGTCATATCCATCACTGTTACTGTCACTATCTGTTTGGCCGTGTTCAACCTGATTTCCAGGTTCTGTTTTCTGACCAGGTTCTTGCATGTTGTCAGCCTCTCCTTGTGTCCTTCTGTTGCCCATAATCACTCCATGTTGTCCTTTACTCTCTTTATCACCATCGACTTTCCCAGCTTCTTTGGTAATATTGTTTCTGTTGCCACCGCTGGGACCTTCTATTTCTGTTCCCTATAGAACAATGGATAAAAGAATGATTAAGTCGTAAATGTTATGCTGAAAATCGCATTGGTCTGAGGAAAAATGACTGAGGAAAGTGACCAGAGAAACAGAAGTTTAGCTTCCAGTACTTCAGAAACATGTTAGTGAAAATGTGCTGTATTCAGCACTTGAAAATGCTCTAATGTTTAGGTTATAACAACCCATCCACATTTATACCCAGTAGGAACTTTTATAAACCATTACATGGTGCAGCCATTATTTAGCATAGGAAGACTTTTCTAGAATTGTGACCAAGTTTTCAGAAATGTCTGATTTTTTAAATTGTTCTATATCAAAGTCTAGTACGGACTCTGGCTTTCCCATCAAATATTCAAGTAATTTAGGTACAAAAATACATGACTGCTTGTCATGATTATGTTTGTGGAGGGGAGAATTTAAACTGCCATTTAAAAAAACCAACTTCACAAACTAACCTTATCTTGGCTCTTCTCGTTAGTACTTGGCTTTGATTCTTGGGTAATTCCATTATCCACACTATTATTTTCTCTGAGACTGGGTTTTTGGATGTCCTCTATTTGGGGGCTATCATTTTCTTCTGGAATACCATCAGAATCCTCCTCACTCTTGGAGACATCGTCTCCATCCACATCATGGGGATCTTCTTTGTCCTCAGGGCTGTCTTCACCACTAACTGAATTTTGGCCTAAGCTAGTATCATTGTCATCTTCTTTTACATGACTCTGACCCTCCTGGCCCTTGCTGTTATCAGTGCCCTCTTTTCCATTTCCTGTTTCTTCATCTTCATGATCACCAGAGCCCCCGTCTTCACCCTCATCTGCTCCATCCCCGCTAGGGCTCCCATCAGAATTATCTAGGCCAGCGTCTTCTCTATCGCAAGCCCCCGGTGTTATGGCTGCCTCCTCATGACCGTTTCTCTCACCTTCTTTCTGAGGTGTTATTTCACTTGTTTCACTCTCATTTCTACAGGAATTCCCATCTGCTCCACCCTCCCAGCCTGTACTATTACTGCTTCCAGATACTTGATGTTCATCTTCTTTAACAACAGTGCCATTCTCACTCTGACTTGCATCTCCAACATCCCCACTTTTCAAATTCTCATCAGCATTTCTATGAATATTGCTCCTCTTTGCTGCTCCAGTATTGTCAATAGTGCTTACTTGTCCCCTAATATCATTGGATGTGGTACTCTCTTCTTTTCCATGTATCCCATCATGACCATATGTTTCTGGTTTTCCTGTGCCCCCGTTCTGATCTTTATGATTCCCCTCTTCATTTACTAACATGGAATGTGTAGAAGAACTTCTTCCTCCTACTTCTGCCCACTCAGAGCCATTTCTCTCTGCTTTGTAGCCATCTTTGGCATACTGATGCCTTCCCATTTCATTTTTATGCATGAGGACACCACTCTCTTTGGTAGTATCTTTAGCATTTAACTCATCCTGAAAAAGAAACAATTCAAAATAAATAGTGAATATCATTTTGAAGTAATGCAAACTAAAAAGCCATCAATTGTTTTGGAAGGTAATGGGATCTAAGAACACCTTAGAAACACATTTTATATCCTGTACCTGCATTGGCACTTTTGATTTTACTGGAAGATTTGAATTCACAGATTTGCCAACAGCATATCTCTCCAATGGCTTGATTTGAGGAACCTACCAAAATTGAAAACATTTTTAATTTGTGTACATGCACATACGCAGACACACACACACATTTTTCCCTAAATGAAGAAAAAAAGATATAACACAAAGGCCAAAGTATGCTCCAATCACGTAGAAAAGAGAAATGACTTTTTACCAGGCTTACGTGGGATTTAAACTAGCATACAGATAGTTTTCACAATGGTGTTACCAATTTTATTGAAGAATTAACCAGGCCATTCATCTCAACTATAGAAGAGGAACGTTCTTTTCTAAAGATGAAAAGATAGACCTTTGGTATTTCTGTACAATAGCCTCTTGCAAAGCACANAAGATGAAAAGATAGACCTTTGGTATTTCTGCACAAGAGCCTCTTGCAAAGCACAAGACCCACCCTAAGTATAAACCTGGCCAAAACCCCTCGGAGAATACTTGGCATGACCAGAGCCAGCGCAGAAGGAAAACCAAGTAATAGGCTACTTCTGTGCTCTTTCAGAGCATATTTGAAATAGCTGAGAAAATACTCAATTACATAAATACCAAAGTGTTTGGTATTATGAAAACATATCAAAATTNTATTACGAAAACATATCAAAATGTTCACCATAGCGGCTGGCTAATAATATTACAAATGGTTGAATTTTCTTAATTTTTCTTTGTTGGTGTTTATCTGTATATTCCAAATTTTCTACAGTGAGCATATAAAAAATAACTCTCTGAGTAAAAATGTTAGTTCTCTCCTATGTTAAAAAAAAAAATCTTATCTTTCCATATTTTTCTTTCTTGAACACTTCTTTCATTGATACTAGAATGAAGTTCAGAGCACATGAGCAANGAGTAAAAATGTTCGTTCTCTCCTATGTTAAAAAAAAATCTTATCTTTCCATATTTTTCTTTCTTGAAAGCTTCTTTCATGGATACTAGAATGAAGTTCAGAGCGCATGAGCAGAGATGAACGAAGTCTTCATGATTTCTGGACATGGAATGTAAGTTGACCTGAATGAATTTTTAAATAAGAATCCTCCTGAGCAGCATGAGTTTTGATTGGAAGAATGGGAGCATGAACTTGGAGTCATGTTTGGTTTTGTTGAGACCCCAGAGATATCTTGTCAAGTCTTTCATGCAAATCTAAATGTTTAGGCTCAGCTTATCTGCGAAGTCTTAAGTAAATATATACATATATATGTATGATGTTACGTAAAAGAGATAGCAAAGTAAGGAGGTTTTCTGAGGAAGGCATACTTACTGGAATGGCCCATGCTGCTGCCCAAATGCAAAAATATATGATTATCTTCATTTTCCTTAGAAATATTAGTTAATGGCTGTTTTTTAAAAAAAAGAATAGCACAAAATTACTTATAGAGCAAAAGATAATAACCACAGTAATGTATTATTTCATTTGTAAGCATTTGCCTTCTTCCTGGGCACGGAGTATTTATCGAACATGAGAAGGTGGCTGTCAAGACTCAGTGTTCCAGAACACCCTGGAGTGGTCATAGAGACATACCTAGAGTGGTCATGGAGACATATGGGCATCATCCGGCTCGGCGCCAANTGGTCCTAGAGACATACCTAGAGTGGTCACGGAGACATATGGGCATCATCAGGCTCGGCGCCACTGGAGCCACCTAGACTCTTTCTGCCTCTGCCAGTGAAGGGGAACAGCCATGTAGCCACAAAGTTATAACCATAACTTTGTCCTTCTGCTGTTCTTGATGGTAATAATCTCTCTCTTCTGAATAGTTTTAATCAAGTGTTAACTAATTGTGCTAAGACCGTGTTTAAAAGATGAAACACTTATCATGGGCTCTTCTAGACTGTAAGGGACAGACGAGAGGGAGCCTAGGCTAATGGAAAGAACATGGCGTTTGGATTTAGGGTCCTGGATTAGAATTCTACCTTTGCTACTTGCAGTGTGAGTTTGAGAAATGTAAGGATTTTGTTAAGCCTTGTTTCCTCCATCTGAGATAATAATACCTGCACTTAAGGATTACCCCAACTATCTAAGCAGAAAGATCTTCTCTGAGAAGCCTTCTCTGGCCCCATTTCAGAGGGCATTTGGTGTCTCTTTTTTGCACACATCAGCTTCTGCATACCTCATGGCTAGTTTATTGTACTGTTTTCAAATAGCTTGACTACTTACACGTTCCCCTGCCCTACTGAGAGCTCCTGAGACCCAAGAGCATGTCTTAGTGATCATTGTAGTCCAATCCATAGCACAGAAAAACACTTTTCATGAATATTGTTGATTAATAAATACTTATTAGTGTAAGCAATACCTGGCACTGTCCTGGGTATGTAGCAATCTCTTAATAAATTATAGCAATTACTATAAGGGACTTCTAAATATATGATCCTTTATTCCTGTTAGACTCACATTCAGAAATGGTCTAATATACATTTTGATACCTTGGAATAGACATCATATAGTCCATGTGAATCAAAAATTTAAATTCCTATTTACTGCAAATTGGATTGCTTGATGTAATGATACCATTACTATAGAAAGGAAGGAAAGTTTTACTCCTATTTCATGAACTCCCACTTGGTTTATAGATTAAAATACTGTGTGTTATAAAATAGCCCTTATTGAATTTTGTGTTGATAGTGGAAACATAATAAAATCTCAGTGAGTTATTTGCATTTCTTCACAGGAGAGAGGACACAGTTCCAGAGAGAGAAAAAAGTGGGGTGCAGGAGGGAGCTGGCCAGTTTGGCTCAGTGGTTAGAGCATCTGCCTGCGAACCTAAGGGTCTCAANAGAGCATCCGCCTGCGAACCTAAGGGTCTCAGGTTCTATTCCAGGTCAAGGGCACATACCCCAGGTCAAGGGCATGTACCTCGGTTGCAGGTTCAGTTCTGGGCCCCAGTCAGTGCTCGTGTGAGAGGCAACCAATCGATGTGTCTCACTCAAATCAATGTTTCTCTCTCACACTCTCTCTCTCTCCCTCCCTTCCATTCTCTGTAAAAATCAATGGAAAAAAATATCGTTGGGTGAGGATTTTTAAAAAGGGGGACAGGACTTACTCTTGTAGCTGTCCAGCAGAAAGTCAAAACCTCCTTCCAAAATACTGTAGATTAAAAACAAGGCTGAGGAGACCTCAGGACAAGTATAATGCAGAGCTCTGGGCATAGATGTTGAAAGGCAGCTGTTTAGTAAGCAAGGGTTATACCGTACTTCGTAGTCCCCAGNATAGATGTTGAAAGGTAGCTGTTTAGTAAGCAAGGGTTATACCATACTTTGTAGTCCCCAACCTAATTATTACATAGACTTTGCAGAAGGCCAGTCTACACTGTGATTTGGAGGAGCCATGGTATCCTGGAAGGTACCTGTAGTGAAGGCCAGGGTTATGTGCAGCCCATTTCTAAACTGCAATCCAGAAATCTGGCCACATTAGCTCCCTTTCAGATCCACTCCAGAGCAATTGCACGATGCCCTGTGGTGCTCGTCACTGTCTCCACAAGTAGGTAAATGGCTCAAAAGACTCCTATAGAAATGGCCTCAGTTTTGTCAGCCTGAAAGCAGAGGCTTAAGAATTGTCTGAATCCCCTTTAGATTATTTCATGTATTTAACAATTACCTAGTTAATTTGGACAAATTTTTTAAAGGCAAAAAGCAAAGCCTAATTAAAGCCCTGTTTAAAAGCCCATGCTGGATTTTTAAAATCCGAGTTATCTAATTTCTTATCGAAACTAACCAAAGCAACCAGAGAATTATCAAATTTCCACCTCAGTTTGCCAATTTTTTAGTAACGTGTCTTTCTTTTTTCAAACCTATCATATTGTAAAATGGAAAAGGAGTGGGACAGAAGTCAAAATCTCTAGCTATTCTAAGTAGAAGTGTTTTTAATACAGCTTCTAAAACCCTAATGTCAATTGGCCAAAAAATTAGTTTTTTAGGTCAAATGTTGATTTTTCTTTTTTTAGGGACTAAGAAGTTATATGGAAACTGTGATTCATTCATTCATTCAACAAACATTTGAAGGCCTAACGTGGGCCATATACTGAGTCCTAGAGACAGACATAAGCCCTATGACTGACTGGATTAGGCTTCGAAATAAATGTAATATGATGTGTTAAATCAAGTTCATGTTAATTTCTTAATAGAGTCAGTGTTTAAAGGTTACTGTCGTTACTATTTAAAAGAGAAGCAGCTCTGGCAGGCGGCTCGGTTGGTGCGGCTTCGTCCCGTGCACCCGAAGGCTGCGAGTTCAGCCCTCGCTCGAGACTGATTGATGTTTCTAACCCTCTCTCCCTTCCACTCCTCTGAAAATCAATAAAAACATACCCTCAGGTGAGGATTGACAATACTAATAATAAGTTGAAGAGGAAGAGATTATTTCTTTCCTTTTTCATCCAGTCCCATCACATCTTACATTGCAATGGTGAGACTAAAAAAAAAAATGGCTTTAACTAGACTCAAGGTTCTTAAAAATTGTTTTTCTGGATATAAATAACTAATGAAACTTTAGTGAATTATACATAAGAGATTCTAATCACTCATTCTGTTGTTAATATTTTAAATTTGAAATATTTGCTTCATCTTACATATACTCTTTCTATTAGCAACTGATATTTTAACACACTGGCTGTGGGGGGAATAAAAAGCACCTATTCTTCAGTAATGCAATATTTTGCTAGATGGAATTAGTATCCCTTACCACATAATTTCTCATTATCTTTTAATACAAACTCTTGATTTGACAAGTCAAAAGGAGAGGAAAAAATCTAATCATACAGGGTTATTAACTTGCTAAAATCTAGGGGGCTTCATTGAAATTCAAATTTCTTTCTAAAGACAACTGTTGGTTCTGAGTAAAGAGGATGTTTCATCTTACCTTAAAAGCCTTCAAAGGGACTTTGAAAATCCAGGATTTCTTATCTTTTTCTTTGGAGACTGAGTGGCACACTGTCCTGGACTTTTGCATGATAATTTTGTACCTGCAGAAATTTAAACTCAGTTTGATCATTTTCTCAGCCAATCACTGTTTAGGATCCCTGATACGGGGTTATAGCGTGTCACGGTGTCCATGAAGCACATAATAACTTCCTGCACTTGCTGATATGTATTTGCTCACTGAACTATTTGGTTCCAAAGGGACTAGACTTACTTTCACTTAATTAAACAGCTTTTGGGAGGCTGTTTTGCATTTTAAATATAGAGAATCCTTGTAACATATCTGAAAAGAGCCACTTAAACTCTGTCACCCTGACATTTCTTGTCTTGCTAAGGTTGGTAATCTAAGAAAACTCTAGGTTTCTTTAGTAAATATGACTGCCGATTTAGGATCCCTATCATTCCTGAGGTAGGTATTAAAGTTCTGTGCTGTAATTCAAGAAACTGTCCACATACAACAACCTTGACGTTGCCCTGAGAGGTGTCGTTAGCCATCTATAAATGGTAACTCCATACAATCTCTCTGACCTAAACACCGATGTGAAGTTTTTAAACGTTATCAATTTATTATTCACACTAAGTTTTAAAACGAGATATTCAAAATACCAAAACTTATTGTAAGGTAGTTAAATGTGCAAAAGTATGTACAGACAAGAAATTTAGCTCTCAGTGTTCTCTGTTATGTGTCCGCTGTGAGGGACAAAATAGCAAACAGGATCATGTTTCAGGCAGAAAGTTTTGACGCCTGAACTCAGCAAGCTCTTGAACCCCAGACAGGTGTGATGATGCAGGTGATCTCTACACTTCTCCAATTTGTGAGTTCCAAAACTTCACAATCTGTGTCTTTCCATGGACTTGTTCAGAATTTTCAGGAATAATCTGATATTTTTGTATTTTATAACATCAAAGAATATGAACCATGTTCAACTACTAATATGCTGCTCCCCAACAGAAGTACAGGATAACTACAGAATTTATATATAGGACTATCACAGGGGAAGCGGTAAGGTTGAAAAGGAGTGGGGGGGATGGAAAAAGGATTTGCCTTGAGGCTATGTTTTCCTAGCCAGCATTTTGTTTTTGTTTGGACAGCATGTTTATGTGGGTGGCTTAAAGATCTAACCAAGTTTTAAGGAGTCTTAGGTCACCCGTGGGAGTAACACAACACCCTCACTCACACAGAGACACCAGTGGAGGTTCGTGGACACAGCCTGCCTGCCTTTGCCTTCAGTTTGAATGAGTATAAGTTATAGTCAGAGATTTTGATAACTGATAGAACTAGTAGACAGAAAATCAGTACAGATAACAAGTTTTAAAAAGAAATATCAACCAACTTGATCCAATTGACATGTATTGAAGACTTTATCCACCAACAGCAGAATAAACGTTCTATTCAAGTATAGGTAGAACATTTACCAAGATAGAGCATATTCTAGGTCCCAAAACAAATCTCAACAAATCTAAAAGGATGTGAGTCATACAAAGTATAATTACTGATCACAATAGAATTAAATGAGAAATCAGTAACAGAAAGACTTCTGGAAAACCCAAATATTTGGAAGCTAAATAACACACTTCTAAATAATCAATGGGTGAAAGAAAAAAACCCAAAGGGAAATTCAAAATGTGTTAAATGAAAACACAATAATTTATCAGAATTTGCAGGGTGTCATTAAAGCAGTTTGTAGGGAGAAATTTATAGCACTAAATGCCTATAGTAGAAAAGAGTCTCAAAACAGTAACTTCACCTTTCACCTTAAGACACTACAAAAATAAGAAAAAAGTAAATTCACATTAAGCAAAAGAAAGGAAATAGTAAAGATCAGAACTGAAATTGGTAAAAAAAAAAAAAAAAAAAATTTAATAGAGAAAATCAATGAAACCAAAAGCTGTTTTGTGTTTGCGTGTTGTTTTGTTTTGTTTTTTGCTATGTTTTGTTTTTGAGAAGCTCAATAAAATTTATAAGACTCTAGCCTGCTTAATCAGATAAATAAGAGAAAAAACATAATTATCAATATAAAGAATAAGAGAGATGAGAATATTACAGATTCTATAGACATTAAAAGATTAAAAAGAGAACACTAGGAAGAAGGTTATGCCAATAAATTCAATTACTCACATGAAATGGATACACTGTGTGAAACCACCAAAGCTCACTCAAAAAGAAGTAGGCCCTGGCTGGTGGCTCAGTTGGTTGGCACAGCATCTTGTACACGAAAAGGTTGCGGGTTCGATTCCTTATCAGGGCACAGACCTAGGTTGCAGGTTCGATTCTCCATCATGCATATGGGAGGCAACTGGTTGATGTTTCTCTCTCTCTCTCCACCCCCTTCTTCTCTCTCTAAAAAAAAAAAAAAAAAAAAAACATACCCTCAGGTGAGGATAAATTGAAATTCTGCCTACTATACATTTTAATCCATAGTAAAANCCCCCTAAAAAAAAAAAAAAAAAAAAAAAACATACCCTCAGGTGAGGATAAATTGAAATTCTGCCTACTATACATTTTAATCCATAGTAAAAGAAAATAGATCAGTGGCTTCATGGGGCAGCATGGAAGGATTATAAGGAAATTTTTATGTATAGTTATCATTGTCTTAATTGTGCTGATGGTTTCATAGGTGTATATATATGTCAAAAAATCAAATTGTACACTTTGAATGTGTGCAGTTTATTGTGTGTCAATTATACCTCAATAAAGCTATTATGGGGGAAACATAATTAAATCATTTCAAATCCTGTAACTTGATATGTTAAAACTAGAGCTTTAATAAGGGCTCCCCAAAAGGAAACATAAACCCCAATTTATTATGGAAACCAAACAACTAAAATTTAAGATCTGGACTCAGATATCTATATCAATTTAGTAACAAAACAAGTTATCTAAAAACCCTTAATTAGGATTGTTATTCTGTTCCTAAGGAAAGAATTTAGAATGGAACTCTTAACCTAGTGGCTACTCTATTACCATGACTTTGAACTATCTGCCTTCCTGTTTTCTTAAATTTGGATAAACAGCAGCTGAGTCAAATGCCAAAACTAAGGCAAGAATAGCAATAGCAGTACAGACACAGAAAAAATGTTCCAACTCAAATTATTTCAAGTTGACTCAAATGGTTCACAAACCAGCAGAAGGCACATGAGTAGTGATTCTCTCTGTGGATAAGTAGATGTATAACATCCCAGCCGGGCATCTTTGATTGGTGAAAGTTTAAAGGGCAAAAACCTTCCATTCAATTGCCCAATATTGAATTAATGCCAGTACAATTGGGAAAATAGATAATATATT